AATCTATTGTGCGTTGTTACTTTAGCATATGATGGATTTTCAACCAAAAATTAAACTTCTCTGAAGGACAAATTTTCAAAAGCCATTACCCTTTTAATATTTAATTGTTGTTTGTAGATAGGACAATCACGCGAAACTGCGTCATGATTTTCATCTCCACAATGTACACATTTCTTTTCATCATTTTCGCATTTATCATTACGTGTTTGTCCTGCACATTTTTGACACATTTAAAACATTGAGTTACAGGATATACATACGGGTCCACACCAAAATTTACCATATTTATTCTAACATTCCCAGGGATTTGAGTCCCCAGGAATGTTAAAACAACCATTTGCCTATCTACAAGTGTAGACGTTTTTGTTGTGTCGTCGTGTATCCTTCGTTTCATACGTCGTACTTCAGTGATTTTATATCAGACTCTATAGCTTTTAATATATATATATTCCTCAGAAAACATAGTGTTTACCATTCTAATTATACTTTTTTTATGTGTGTAATAATTTGGTATATATGGGACTAGATTATTTTTGGTTACAATTTCGTTTTTAATTAATTCGTTTGCAGCTTCATAATTTTTACTCTATTTAAACCTAATGGTTCAATATCCAAAACATTATTTTTAAAATATTGATCTTCCTTTAAAAAATGTCCAACGCGAATGGAAAATAAACGACCTAGATTTCTTTCTTTATGTTCCAAAAAGACCAAGTATGGCTTTGTATCTGATTCTCGATATTTGTTAGTAAAATCATATTTTAATTTATTTTCTCCTTCTATTATAGTATTATTTCATTTATCTTCGGGCGGTCCTATACCGCCCGAAGCTTCATTCATTTTGAGAAATTAAAGTAAACTATGTATTTGCTTGCCAAATTATTTTGTTAAAATAAGTATACCTAATGAAAATAAAATTAAGGTGTACTTATCTGATATCAGGCTAAACAAACCACTTTTTGTTTCTTCACTCGCAAAACGTACGGTCTCTACAAGCGACAGAACAAGATTCTAGGATGTTTTAAAAAAGCTAATTACAGTTTGGAAAAGTAAAATATTTATATTTCTCTATTTATATTATATACTTTTATAAAACTTGACTTTTTTGAGGTTAGGTTATTTACAGGCCTCAGATGACGGGACTATTCGGCCTAATATCAGTTCTATGTTAGTATTTATAAACCAAAATCAGCTGAATCGGACTTGGGTAAGTCGTCCTTGAACGAAAATCGAAGTTCGGTTATATCGCGTTAATTTAGAGATGGGTAGTAACAAATCCGTAAATGTACATAACAGTAACAGATTTGCTAATGTCCATCTCTAAATTCCAGTCTAACACCAGAACCACCTAGAACTTTAGAGGCGTTGTCCTGAAGTATAGTAGACAGCCGTTGTGATCATAATATTACTTATATTGTAATAATATCCTAATAATTTTAGTTAATTGATAACTGATTATCATTCAGTGTATTCGACTAATAACTGATAATTATAAGATTAAACGAACTTACCAAATGAAGTTTGATCATAATTATTTGAAGGTCTATTTGAAGAATTACTTGCTAACACCGCCCATCCAGGACAGTACAACTTACCGATTTTTTTCTGTGATTGTGAATCCTCGGATTCCTCATACCATTTACCAGACCACATTTATAAAACATAAGGATTGCACGATTCTAAAAATTATACTGTATTTAATATTTCAAAAGATTTCACTAAATTTGTGCTAAGCAGACAAAATAAAAGCATTAAGTTCCGAGGTACTCCTCAGATATTTGGCTGACCTATACTTAATTTCTTTAATCACAAAGAAAATATTTAAATTAAAGTTCATGGGTACCTCTCCTCAAATATTTAACTGACCTCTACTTAACTTTTTTTTACTCACAAAAGCAAAATCTTTAAATGGAAGTTCAGAGGTACTCCTCAGATATTTAATTGACCTGTACTTAACTTACTTAACTTTGTTACTAAATAAAAACAGTACTTAACTTTCCGAATGGTAGAGTTAAAAGTTATTCGTAATTTGGAAAGAGCGCTCGTCCATCTTGACAAATGTTTCCAGTAGCGCCCCTGCTATAATTTAATGACTTGGTCACTATTTTCATTTTTAACTCAGTGGTATGTATTGTTGAATAATTATTTTCAAACTTAAACAAATTTAACAATAAATGTTTAAGTTTCTCTGCGTTTTGTTTTTCCAAGCTTCTCTCAGCCTGTTATTGATAGAGACAATATAAATTATTTTTAATGAAGAAAACATTTTTTTTTTCATCTATTTTCTACCAAAATTAAAAGGCTACAAATAAAGACACTTGTAACCACTCAGATGTTTCACTTATCGCTAGGCTAGGACCACCCTGTCACGACTCACGAGTGCTACTCATATTTCGTAGAACGATACGTCGGACTGGGACGCATAGGAATTTAGGAGATAAGCATAGGAGCACAGCATTCTTACATAGACATTCATTCAATACATTTCATTTAATGTATTATTATTATTCTTAACACCGACTCAATTCGATTCTATAATAAAATCCGATTTATTTCATTTAAAATTAATTAACATAGTTTACACAATATCTGTCAAAAATAACGTTGTAGATCACTGCTAAATTATCCACATTATAAAAACAAATTTTGGAACCTATACCATTGCATTCAATTTTAAATGGTATTTTACTGTTTTTAAAAGTTATGTTGCGTGCACCTTTTAACGTTATCAATGCTCTAAATTACAATTGGATGTTTTTGCCATTCTATATTTCTCTCCGGTATCTATCAGATAGTTGAATTATAAATTTATTCAAAAAAAAAGCTATCAAAATCAATAATTAATATAATTTATTCGAGAGCTAGATGGTTGGTTAGTTTCTTTTTAAAACAATAAGCTCCGTAGTGGATTTTTTTTTTCAAAACACGAAAATACCATTTCTATCGGCTACATACAATTATTTACCCCTACAGGATGACGGTGTTTCAAATAAATACCACCAATATCGCCAATAACAATTTCACACAATTATTAGCCGACTGACAAATTTAACTAATGAATACAAAAAAAGGACAGTCGCCAATATGGCCAATAACAATCTCAAACAATCAATCAACTGATAAATGTAACGAATCAATAATCTTGGAAATACTCACAGGAACAGTCAACCCCCAGGCGCTTCCGTGGCACTTTTAGTGAGCGAATCCCACGTCTGATAATAACAATTTTATTTTCAATAATTAAGTCAAATAGAACAATGCGTGAGCATCAACTAACAGCTTGATTTCCCTATTATAGCACTCAAGGCCTGGGAGAGTGCAGTCGACGGTTTGCTACCACTGCCATTACTTCCCGCACCCCCAACTTTTGACTGGCAATGTTCTTTATATTACAATGAGTAATCACACACAATTTGTTTACCTGCTAACATGTATATTTAACAAAATTTTATAATTTTTTCTTACATAACGTTAAAAAATTTTAAAATATAGTTAATTAACTAATATTAAAATAATCTTTAAAAATTTAAGTTTTCCGATGCAATAACGGTTTTATTACGACTTTTATGTAAGTTAATCTAACGTTACTATTAAACGTATAGTAAACAAAACTTTTGGTAGAACCACAATTACATAACAACGTTTAAAAATGAAATTAAAATATACTTCAATAAATAATATTAAAATAACGTAGATATTTGATTTACATCATTAACCAAACGTTAAAAGGTACGAATACATAAATGTTTTTTATGGGATATGTATTTAATTTAAACTAACGTTCATAATATACGTATATTTATTAAAACTATTAACTTTTAGTTATATAAAAACGTATAAAAATAATATTAAAATATAGTTAATTAATTAATATCGAAATAACGTAGGTATTTTTTAGTTTAAAAAATAAATCAAACGTTAAAATGTTTTGATTCAACAACGTTTTCAATACGATATTTATGTAACTTAAAATAATGTTGATAAGATACGTATTAATTGCAAAAAAAAATTAACTATAAGTTTAAATATGGTATTAAGCGAAATAAAAAAGAAACGTTAATTATAAACAAGAAAATAACATTTTAACAAAATGTATTAAATTTTCAACATTCATTTAAAAATTGCTACAAAAACAAGTTAGAAAGTAGTATTTTTTATACGTATACATTTTTTTTTTAAATTTGGTGTCATCGGCGTCGACTACTACGGCCATTAGCCTCGTGTTCTGTGTAGGCTTTGTTACTGTTTCCCAGCGCCACTTTAGGAACAGCACTGTTAATTAGAACCCAACAGTGAATGGTCGAGTGGGGAATCCTACCAAGGCATCAGAATTAATTTTAAATAATTAAATTAAATGAAAAAATCCCGGCCAACGGTGGGATTCGATCCTGAGACCTTCCGATCTCAAAGTCATGACTCTAACCACTGAGCCAACCCACCCCCTACGTATACTTTTTTAACTAAAATTTTAATGTTGGGTGGCTCATTCAATTTTTCTAGACATCTCCAGACAATTTTTGGCGGGCTAAAACGGTTCTCTAAAGATAAATCATTAAATTTAAGAAAGGTCAATATTAAATATTTTAGTTTTGATCAGCTGATAAATCTAAGCCTCTTGATAGTGCCCTACTGTTTTTCAGTTTGCAAGTGTTATTTGTTTCAATTCAAAGTTAACTTATTAAAGTCATGTTCTTTCTTGATTTTTCCTCATTATTCAACAAACTCTTGAATTTACGTAAGCTAAAAGTATTATATACAAGGTGTTAAGAATTATACCTGAATAAGTTTAATAGATTTTTATGAAAGCAAAATAAAGTAAAACAGCTCTTCGTCATTTGGGTCCTATAGTATAAGTTTCAGATCTTTTAAGATATTTCTAATATTTTTGCCACTAGAAAAAAGGGACAGAAAAATATTTAACGTTACACTCTCTATGTATATTTCTGGTCGTTTGTTATATAAATAGTATATTATATAAATTTTAAATTATTATTTTTCAGGTGCAGCCGAATATAAACGGAATATGTCAGTTCCGCTCGACATGTATGATGTTGAAGATGGTTCAAAACTTAAAAAAGTTGGATCTTTTTCTTTAAGTAGAACAGAATTGGAAGCTAAAATTTCAAAACCGAAATTTGTTCCAGAAAAACTCGATTTTCAACTTTACGAAAAATTTGAAGGTAAGAGTAAAATATAATCATGTTTGTTAAACTATGATGAAAATGCATTTTAAACTTACCTATACGTCTGGAATCATTATCACAATAAGTGAGGTGTTTGGATTTGATTGTTATTCAAAGTTTGCTGAATTAAAAAGATGTTTATTCTGTTAATACGATTGACAGCTCATATTGAATTATACAACAAAAAAAAGTTCAAAAACAACAGAAAATACAAATAATCTAAAGCTAATAATATCTTGATTATGATTTAATTCTATAACGATACTTGTGTTCCTTTGAGAACGGACCGGCATTTACAAATTAAATGTCTTAGAGGTGACCAATAACGCTGAAGCGTCTATAACGGAACTGAATGAGGGTTTCAACCTTTATTTTTTAAAATTTATATAGATAACTATCGATGATGATAATAATAGTAATTGTATATTGAGTTTTATTAAATTGTAACGTTTATTTATTTAAACAGTTTATTTATTTACAATAAGGCGTGAGTTTATTTTATTACCTTATATCAAAATGATTTAATGCCACAGTACCACCCCCAATATTCATAACATGAACTAATTTTGATAGATGTCATTTATATATCATAAATTAAGAATCATTTTGTTCAACAGATGGACCAATATTCCATATTTAATAGTTCTTTTGTTCAACAGATGGCGTAATAATTTTATTAATTCTAAACGGTAACTGTTACAAAATAACAAAATTCATCACCCCTAGCCACTACGCGATGATAAGTAAACGAGTTCTTGACCATGACAAATATTTTCGATGTAGCAGGTACCTAAATAAAAGTTTTGGATTAGATTCGGCACTTCGGTATAATTTACTTAGTAGTTCATTCTTGTGTTCAGTCAACAAAGGCAAAGGTCTTCGTATCATTACGTAGGGACCTATTATACTATACATGGTGTTTCGTTAAGAATGGGACATAGAAAAACTGACGATTCTCTGATTAAAAATAAGACAACTAAACACTTCATGCTTAGATAAAATGTTTCTCGTTTCCGAATTAAGGTGTTAGAATCCCCAAAAATATTTATGGCTATATTTTTTTTATTACTCAATAATTTTACTAAATTTAGCAAACGTTTTTGGTGTTATAATATCCACCTTTTAGCAAAAAAAATAGTTACCGTAATAAACTTTTCCAGTGGCGTACAGCATTGGTACGTAATACCGCATCCCTCCTAAATTTTACGTCACTATCCAAAAAGTTATTTGGATATAAAATTTTGAATTTTTTCATGTTTTTTAAATAAATAATGTACTATTCTTAGAAATTTATTAAAAAAAAATCAGAATTTTTAAATATGTGCCAATATCTCAAAAACTAACTCAACTTTATTTGAAAAACATCAAAAGTTTTTGGACAGTGGACTAAAATTTAGAAGGGAAATAGATGTTACTTGCTCATGACGTACGCCACTGGCAAAGCATATTTAACTTATTTTTTTTTTCTGATACGTATATTTTATTAGACCAATAACGTTTGCCGAATTTAGTAAAATTAAACTGAGTAACAAAAAATTGTAGCTATTCATAGTTTTTTTTTTTCAGCTTTAAAACCCTACCTACCTACGGATGTTTCGTTTAATCGGCTTATTTCTAATCAGTTAATTTGCAGTTGCTCCCATTCTTAATGGAATACTCTGTATAAACCGAAAGTTCTTACAGCCTAAGAACCAAATAAAATAAAGAAAAATGTAATAAAAGAGTGTTTTTGTTGCCTTATTTACCCACAATACTTTATTTAAATCTGCATCAGTAAAAATTATTTCCAAAAAATTTCTCATTTATATGTAAGTTGGCGGCATACGGAAAACTTTTTTAAGAATTTTATGAAAAAATTATTTTTCATAAACAATTGCATGGTCTAAAATCATATTTTTTGACAAACCTTGTAAAACCGACTGATAAAATTTGATATCGGGTGGCTGCATTTTCTGTTAGACCATGCATGAATTTTTATGAAGAATAACTTTTTTTCGCAAAATGAATAATAAAAAAGTTATATATATGCTGTCAACTTACATAGACATACTGTGTATATACTGTGTATATACTGTGTATATACTGTGTATATACTGTCAAAACCATACCATACCATATCTTCGGACTCGGAACTACCATTGTCGGAAACATTGAAGGCCGACATTACGGCGTCGTGGGTGCAGGTACACCTGCACACCAATGGATCGGTACCATCCAGACGGTACAGGGGTGGGGACGGTGGGTGAGGTTGGTGTCTAGGCTGACTCGACGGCCGGTTTCAGGTCTTTTATGTGCACCTGATTGAGTCTTTTTCCTGCAACATCTTTAAGGTTGTAGACGACGGGAGATACGACTTTGACAACGGTGTACGGACCGGAGTATTTCGGAGCTAATTTCGCAGCCACATGATCTACGGCTGATGACAGCGTATGTTCGCGCTTCATCACTAGATCACCAATAGTGCACCTCCAGTCTCGTCGACGCAGATTGTAGTAATGAGCCTGCGAGGTAAAAGCTCGGGACAGGTTGAGACGGGCTAGGTAAAAACACTCTTTGAGTTTTCCTAGTCTCTTGACAAAATTTTCGGGACTTTCCTCATCAAGCGGTTCGGTTTTGGCGGATTGGTTACTGGTCTCAACTTCTTGTCGTAGGGATTTGGGGATGACTAACTCCCTCCCAAAATTTAAAAATGCTGGAGAAAAACCAATTGATTCGTGACGGGACGTATTGATTGCAAACTTTAAATCAGATAAATGGAGATCCCAATCTTGATGATTGTCCTCGCAAAATTGTGCTATCATGGTTTTTATGGTTCCGTTTGCTCGCTCTACGGGGTTAGCTTGCGGTGTGTAAGCCGGTGTACATCGATGACAGATTCCCAATTCTTTTAGGATGGATTCAAAAAGCTTACTGGTTACTGGTGTACTGTGTGCCATTATCGGTTATTACCTCTTTCGGGCATCCGAAAGTTGTGACGATGTTGTCATAAAAAACTGTGCTCACGCTCTTTGCTGTAGCAGTGCGGATGGCTTTGCATTGTACCCACTTGGTAAATCTATCCATAAACATTACGATGTATGCATTACCACGTTTACTCCGGGGTAGCGGTCCAACAAGATCTGTGCTAACAACTTCCCATGGTTGACTATTCGGTGATGGGTTCATCTTCCCCGGTGTCTGTTGTTGTGACGGTTTGTATTTCTGACATTGTAAACAACTTCGGACATATTTGGTAATGTAGCGGAACATTCCCGGCAATAATATTGTCTGGCGATGCGGGTAATAGTTTTTGCAATCCCAGCGTGGCCTGCGGTTGGAGCATCATGATTTTCCTTTAGAACTCGGTCTCTTTGTGACTTGGGTACACAAAGTTTCCACGGATCTGACAACTCGAGTTCTTTGTAGTCATTTATGTCCCAAAAGTGACGATATAGACGGTTTTCTCGGATCGCAAAATCGGGATATTCACTGGGGTTTCTTTCAACCTCGGCTTTCTGAGCTGAATACCAACTACAATTGGTATCGTCGTCTACGGTACACACATCTGGTGTGCTTGATGTACTGTCAGTACTAGGTAACGGATTTCGGGACAAGGCATATTTAATCTCAAAGTCATATTGTTGCAAGAAGATGCTCCATCTTGCAAGACGGCCGGACGGACTCACAATTGAATGCAACCATTTCAGTGATTGGTGGTCGGTGAGTACGGTGAAGTGGTATCCTTCTAGGTAAGCTCTCATCTTTTCAATACCCCAGACTATAGCGAGGCATTCTTTTTCGGTAACTGAGTAATTCCTCTCGGCCGGACTCAGAGTTCTACTGGCATATGCGATGACATAGTCGATGCCATCCTTTTTCTGTGTCAGCGCTACTCCTAAGCCATGATCAGAAGCATCAGTTTGTAACGTGAACGGTACGGTAAAATCGGGACAACTGAGTATCGGTGCCTCAGTCAAAATAGTCTTGAGTTTACGGAAAGCGGTTTCTTGTTCTTCTTCCCAGCGCCACTTGTAGGTTTTTCGCAGTAACTTTGTGAGCGGTGCTACAACCTGCGAAAAGGACGGGACAAACCTGCGGTACCAGGATGTAACTCCTAAAATATTTTTCGGTGCTTCGAATTTTACAATTGATTCAATTTTTTTTGGGGTCGGTACTAATTCCATCTCCGGTGACTATATGGCCTAAATATTTCATACTCGGTAAACAAAAATGGCATTTTTCGAAGTTGATTTTAAGTTTAGCCTCTTTCAGGCGTCGGAAAACTTCTTTCAAGTTTGCTAGATGAGATTCGAAAGTCTCTCCTAGAATAATGATGTCATCTGGGTATGCAAAAGCATGCGGATCCATATCTGGCCCAATTATTTGATCGATCAGTCGTTGAAAAGTGGCCGGAGCGGAATGAAGGCCGAATGGCATAACTCGGAACTGGAATAATCCTCGGCCTGGTACGGTAAAAGCAGTTATCGGCTTGCTGCTGGCGGAAAGTGGAACTTGCCAATATCCACTTTTCAAGTCTAAGCTGGTAATAAACTTAGCAAATTTCAGTTTATCCAAAATGGCATTCATGTACGGCAGTGGATATGCATATTTCATGGTGACTTCATTCACCTTCCGGAAATCAATGCAAAATCGGTGCTTACCATCTTTTTTCCTAACAATCACCACTGGTGAACTCCAAGGACTTTTTGAGGGCTCTATTACTCCTTCGTCCAACATTTTGTCTACTTCTTCGTTAATGACCTCTTGCATTTTCGTATTTTGTGGTCGGTATTTTTGTTTGATCGGTTCTTTTTTAATTAGCCGTATCTCAAGTTCTACGAGATCAGTCGGTCCACGAATGTCGTGAAAGGCAGGGAGTTCGGCTTGCAAGAATTCTTCCAGCATATCGGATTGTTCTGGAGTCAGTGACCGATTAGTAAGGGGGGCGATAGTCTGTATCGGACAGTCTATCTCACAGGTCTGTCTTCCCTTACTGTGTTGCTTGGAGGTTTCAGTGA